AGACAAAGGCAATGATGATGTATTGTACATATGTATGGAAGCATGCAATTCTATTATGAACGTGTGCTAACCTGGGGGAAATTACATACCATTGTCTATTCTAGAATATTAGTTTAGTCTGACATGTCTGACACAGCAACTTATATGTTGCTATTGTTTGTGGTATTGTAACAGGTGGTCAACTTTGGCAAAGTCAAATGCCACTTTCTCAAGTTAGCTCATTGATGACTGACAGATGATGTCACAAGGGGAATGAGATCTGGAGGTTTTGGAGTGGAACTTAGCAAGTTTTAAAAACAAATATTTCAAAAAATATTTAAAAATCTATGAAACAAATTCAGAGGTTTACATATCAAAACAGGAATAGACTTGTATTTCGATGTCATGGGCCCTTTAAATGTCCTCTTCATAATGACGCAGGTTACAATGAAGGGTTTCATTCTCCTTTATGCCCAATATTTACAATACTCTCCCAGAAGGCTAGCTCGGGCCAAATATATGATTTGCATCACAAAAAGTTCTTCCGACTGACTAAGCAATAAACATCGCTATGACGACGACTTTACAAAGCATTTTATATGAAAGGTTTCGTTTTCGGGTGCGCCAAGAGATAATGTGACTTTTCAAGTTCACCCCTTTGACGAAGATTAGTCAACACTTGTTAGACGATCCCGTTTACGATTTGTTTAAAAACTCTAGGGACCTGTAATACAAAACTTAGCAAATGACGGTACGATTGATTGATCGATCGTAAAATCAATTAATTATAAACCATCGTCAATTCCAAAAAAGCAACCAATTGCTAGTTTATTCTTGTACGACGGTGCCGGAAACGTTAAAAGCACTATCAAACACACTGAACTTCAAGTCTCAGGTAAACAAGTTCCTTGAGATGAAATTTCTCCTTCCATAAGATCAAGGAAAATGTTTAAACAAAAACAATTAGGACGACATGATTTCGATATAGCATTCTAATCATTTTCCTTCCTGATGCAATCATTCAGTGATACGTTGAAAAAAGTAAAATGTCAATGGACAGATGGGTACTGTGATTTTGTTAATTTTAAAATCCAACGTTTAGCTATTGTCTGTTTTGCCCTTTGACTAGACATTATCTGATTTATGAAAGTAGCTGCAGTGCAATAAAGGCCTTGTTTTTCATTTTGAATTACACATTCCTTTACACGAAACAAATTTGCTTGATTTTACGTTATTCTATACAAAAGCAAACTAGACGACTTTGTTTTTTGAGTTCTCAACACTAGGACAATGAGACAATGTAGTGGGATAGTAACCAGGAAAATTACCATTCCATAATAGCTATAGTTTGATCATGAACAGCAACATCAATGATACTTTCTTTTCCTATTTACATTAACAAAATTGAATGTATTGACATTAAAAAAAAATATTTTGGTATGATATAAGATACCCATAATATCACACTAGGCATACCAACATAAACTTAAAATGTGTCCATTTTGTTCGTTATGACCCACACTGGAACACAAAGGGATTCAGAAAAAGATTGAGTGACTACCCTGAAAATACATAATTCCACCTACTAAATAAATGTATGAACATCCATACGCCACGATCAATGTCCATGTTTTCCCTTTCCATAATTCACAATTTGTGTGATTTTGTGGCCGTGTGCAAAATGAATAGCTGGCCAATACTATTGACATGCTAAAACTTGTGGCAAAATATAGCTCAGCAAGTTTAAAGGGGAATCCAGCCCTTGTAATAAGCTCAATTGTATAAAAGCAGGAAAATAAGATAAATAACACATTGGGATGTTTGAGATATCAGAATAAGGCAAAATAGAGTCATATAGGAGAAGAAATGAATACATGTTATTGTCAAATGCGCATAACCTACTTCATTCAATGCTGCATTCACATTTAATTGTTGTATGTACTTTTCAGGTAGGTGGTATGATGGTGAGAATTAAGAAAATGAAGTTTTATATTTCAACACTCTTTTATTTCAATTCTAAGTCTAAGGTTGGGTAGTTTCACTTCATTTAAACCATTTGGGACAAGATCTCTATTAGGATTAAAGGGCATTCCAACCCTTGTAATAAATTTATTTGTATGAAAGCAGAAGAACAGAAACAGAATGGCAATAGTTTGAAATGAATTGATCAATTGTAAGAAAGTTACTCCCTCCAACCTAAAGAAATCAAAAGTGAAGAAGAGGAGAGAAAGTACCAGCGAAAACAATAATGGTTAAACGTTAAGATAAAGTAACACTAACTCGGACATCATTATATATCTATCAAAGAGGTTCGGCAGAGATTATTAAATGGATTTAACTTACATAAATACCTCGAACTTAAAGTTTTGAGAGCCAAGTACTCACACATTTTTAGAAAACCATCACCAACCAATAGGAAAGTATCACAAGAAGGGAAATATGTGTTAATTTTAATGACAGTACGATGGTACGCTATTTACCTAACAGTAGCCTATACTGCAACTGAAAAAGAGCCTATGGGTGTGAGATTTAACATTTAGATGTTTGAATTAAACGATGTAAGAATATCAATGTTTAATATAAATAGCGGACTGAGCAACTTCGCATTTCACTGACAACAAAACTGATGACTGACAACAGAACTAATAAGAAGAAAAAAGGATACCTATTTAAGTTTGGGAGGCGTATACTAATATTCCTTTTTGTAAGTTGTGGAAGAAGAAAACACAGAAAAATTAATATGATGGCAAAAAGACATTTAAAACACAGTAAAGATACAAAGGTATTCCTACTATTTATGATCTGATTAGTAATGTCATATATATTTTTTTGTTTCGCATATACAGAAACCAATATATCAAATCAAATCAAATCAAATCAAATATATCTACTGCGTTATAGAATTTCAAACGAAATCTTCCCATTTCCAATAAAAATAAATAAAAAGGAGGAATATGAGTTGTTACAAAAGAATCGAGAAGTTGTGCCGAAAAAACATCACCCACCGTGACCGACTTCAATAGGAGTAGCTCCATATCAATAGAGATGTTTATGGGTTTGCAACTTCCATATTCTTTGTCCGCATGTTCTCGGTTTTCCCCCCGAGTTCCCTGTTTTCTCTTTTTTTTTCTGTTACCCAGCTCACTTGAGGCTAATTTGCCTACATAATGTTTATGAGGGGAAACATTATGAGGGGAGATTAGAGAGAGAGAGAGAGAGAGAGAGAGAGAGAGAGAGGAAGAGAGGAATACTGCAACAATAAGCCAGTTTAGGCCACCTGATTTGTTTCAGTTAATTGGAAATTAACGAGCGCATCAAACTTTGTCGAAGAGTTGAAACAACAGCCAACGACGTTGATCGAGAAAAAAAAGAGACAAGCTTCCATTGAAAGTATCCTCTTTAGAATGTATTTTTACGAGGGCATGTTTTTCACCTACACTCCACGGATCTCTACCATTGGTCATAATAATTTACTTTTCAACCTAGCTGCGTAAACAACGTAACAATATCATTTCAATGTGTTACGTTTCCCTTCTTTGAGATGCAGCCTTCATATCATTGGAAAATAAAAACTTGAGGGTGTGATGTAGGTGTGAAGGTGTGTATGTGTGTGTGTATATGAATGTAGGTTTGGGTTTTACAGACGTGTACCAATCAGACATGATCAATTGTGTCTCGAGACCGAACACTTTTTGGTATAGGGCCATGAATTTGGTAAAATGAACATATTGGAAGCATATGCGATCCTACACTATTCAGTGATCATTGTCGCGGTTGAAATCGAGTCTAAAGTAATGAAATTATAAATAATAAACTCGTTATATTGTATAGCTCCCTCTGAAGGTCAAGATATTAATTAAGCTATAAAACATTGTTTCTTGACTAAAATCGACCGGTTTTAGCTATTCCCGTTTGGAAATTATATATCACAACAACATATTCTGAAATGTTCTTGGGCTAATTTTCTAGTGCTTACCGTACATACACAGGGGCATCCAAATATATCAAAAATGTAAAGAATCCCTATGCAGCCAATTTTCAATAATTTTCCAAAACTTTGTATTAATATCTTTAATAGTCATGTTAAAGCTTATCTGCCGTAGTTTACAGGAGGGATCAGAGCGCTCTGCAAGGTCACTGGACAGGCGGTTATCTCATCAACTCAGCTCTAAGTTAACATAAGAAAAAGAGGATCATGAGGGACCAATGTACACCGATTAGGCAATGTTTGTTATATAGAGGGCGCAAGTAGCTACCAGTAGTGCAGTGGGCCTTTAATGGAACTGGTCATAACAAGAAGTTATTCATTTGCACGCTCAAACGCAAACATACTCATACGCACACACGCACACACGCAAACAAACACGCATCCACCCATATATCACCCATATCATTCGTTATTTTCTATAGTGATATTCAATTTTCTAGAGTATAAGATTAATTAGCTCAATTATCCCTCGTAGATACCATTCACGCTTACTATTCCAGCAGTATCCTGCATTAGGTTCCACTGATGCATGAGTATATCTGCAAGACTAACCAAACCATTATCCTACTTGTTGGATAAAGAGAAGAAGACAAACAATATTATTGTAAGACTTAAATTAATACTTTCCGAAAATAATAGATTCAAGTCTTGATTTTGCATCTACCTCGAAAAAGATACAACAAAGTGTATTTCCAAAAAAGTCAGATAATCGTCACTGATAGATTTGTTTCAAATGAAACTCTATCAATATTATAAATATGGGATTGGCACGGAGGAAAAAGGAGCTTATTACAAGACGATGTTGTTAGGCATAGGATTGTTTCGTCTGAGGTCAAGCTTAAAAAATTGTTTCAGGCCCCATTATGTATAGTTTGTGCAGTGTATTTAAATGTACACTACTCTCCTGATTCTACCATCTTTGCCCTAAAATAAACTGAATTGACCGTGGCTCCCAGATAAGCAGAACTTGATGCATTGCGATTCCTTTCTGATGTATATCTTTATATTTCACTTGCTACAGGGTGATTCCAGTATGGGGGTGAACACAGATGGTAAGGAGACGGGTCCAGGATCAACAGTAACAGATGGAGTCGAGGTAAGCAAAATGTATTTTTATGCTTAGGCATTTTAGAAGGTTTACTCATTAAAGTCTAATAGAAACAATATAATATCTACTTATCTTCCATATTTCATGAATGATTATGAGGTTTAAAGACTTGACGTTCTCACTTCTGATGTTCAAACACATTTGCGAACAATATATCCCATTCAAATTCGCCAACAGAATGATTGAAATTAATATCAATCAGCAAAATTGAAAATTTCCTGAACAAGAATGGAACATCTGATATTAATATTCAGTGTGTAGTCCCAGTAGATCAACAACCCACTTGTTTCTCTACAGACCGACTGCCCACGAGATCGTAAAAATATAGAAATGCATAGGAAAATATAGAAAAGTAAAAAAGTCAACGAGACCGACAGCCCATGAAACCGACCAAAAAAAAAGAAAATATAAAAGAAGGTACAAGAATCCAGCGGGCTTTCGTCCTCGTAGGCCATCAGTCTATTGAACCTTCCAGACAATTGTCAGAAGACCTGCGAGACCGACATGGCTGGTCTCTTGTGTTCTGTTCTAGTACCTGTGATAATTTCAAATTAAATGGTCAATGAGCCATCAAATAGAATATTTGATTCAGTTAATGTCGACAGTCAGTAAGGATTTTTTTAAAATCTTTTTTTATTCGTACCAAAATGACTTGTAAAATATTGTTGTCGCCGTTTCAAATCGTGTTATTATATGATTTCCTATTTATGTAAATTATCCAGTGTTTTCCTGCTGAAGCAACCTAGTAAAAGCACAAAATTCCAGTTCCAAAGTTAGGTAAAGTGTCATCCATTCATTGATACAAGTTACGTTTGCTACTGTTGTTTTGTTATATGGGTTCGGAAAAAGTCCCTCCATTTGATAAGCCTCTTTGGAGATAGCACTTGTACAAATGACATCCAGATAACTACAGATCCGCCAAACTTTAATCGCAAATCCTAAACAACTTTGTAGAAATTTTCTCATCACTTTATCATGACGGTATCTGTAATTGTTGATCTCTTTAACTGCGTTAGTCTTCTGACCATTTCTTATCTTATTTTGCCAATAAAAATGAAGTTGAATTGAATCGAAAGGAATTGCAATTAATACCGGTGGGTGTTACATCAGCGTTTGTGAACTGTTGCTAACGAAGGGTGAATTTGAAATGCTTTCCGAAAACAATGTTAGTGTTTTGGCAATCGTAATCATTCCCGGGTATGTTATCAAAGCTGCGAATCAACTAAAAAAAAACGTTATAATCAACCAAATGTGAATTATGGAGTTGCGTTTATTTTTTTAGAGTTGCGTTTACAGGCAACATTTTGTGTTTGAGGCCCCTGGGTGATTTACTGATCACAAAATGCTATTCCCAACGACTCCGAGGGAAAAGTTTATATGGTATTTATTATGCGACCAATTATAAAGACATTTCTAATCCGTCGAATTTGAACACAGAAATTATTTCAGAGGTTATTTCATTTATTGATAAAGGTCATTACCTCTACTGTATGTCGCCGGGGCAACCACTATCGTAGTGCTAAATAAATTTGTTCATGACTCCCATTGGAGTATTCATACCTTGGTTGAGGGGGGGGGGGATTTGATACGATGTTAATTTATATATTTCATCAAGATAATCAGTTTTTCAGGCCAGAATCGATTACTTATATTGTTTTGTACAATGACTATATTTCGCTATTTATCTTTTTAGGAGATGTATTCTTTGTAATCTAAACATAATTTATACATTGATCTCTATTCTGTATGTTTATCGATGATCCAGATTTTTATCTCAACTCATGATACAAAAACGGTATTTCTTTGTTGGACTTCATTTATTAGAAATAAGTGCCACAAAGTTTACCTCTCAAGTATAAAGTTTCAATAGCGAGGTCGCATCTTGACTGAGCAAAACGACTCTGATAAAATACCTTAAATTTTTACACACACAAAAAAAAAAATCAGTTATCATTTCTTCCTTGGGTTGAAATTCGTCAAAGGCTCTAGTTTTGCCGTTTCCTTACAGTATAGACAATCATTATTTAATATATGTCGCTTAATGCAACCCATGAACCCATTTACTCATTTTAGTCATTTTGTTTATGTAAAGAAAAAAGTTCAGTTTATACACGGTTTAAGAGGGAAACAACATAAATTAAGCACAATTGTTCTAGGTTATTTCACCTTATATACAAATTCTCTGCTATGGCATATTGGACAGAATGATCAATCATTGGGTATACAAACCTCTGTGAAATATGACATCATTAACTGTGATGTGTTTTATTTGTGTTTGTTCTTCTTCAGCACACTGAGAAAGTTTGCGAGTTGGAACAACATCGTGACAATGAGAAGAGTCTTCCTCAAGACGCTGATTGTGACGTAGGAATTCAGGAACACAAACCGTAAGTTTCTCTTTATTAATCGATCATCATAAAGTAAAACGTCACAACTAATGTAATTTCGGTAAGACCTTACATTTTATTTCCGTGGACTTCATACATAAAATCATTTTTATTTTGAATCATTATCTGTAATCATTCATCGTACTTGGATAATCATTGCAACTAGTCATGTAACGCATGTCCAACATGAAATTAATTTTTAGCATAATGATCGATTTACCGTTTCAGTACCACGCAATTTTGTAATTGAAAATTATCCTCTCAGTTGATTGCTCGTTACAGCAACCCTTTATATTAAAGGTTTGATTTCGTAACGCTCTCAAACCGTTGGCATTGTTGAGGTCAAAATCTTTGAATTTAATTGTTCCTTGTTCCTTACACCTTACACCTAATACTAATGATGAAACTTTTTCGCCCTTATCTGATCATTTTGAAAATAAATTTTATTTAAAAATCGTACATTGGTCCTTACGAATTAATATAGACAAAATGCATTAATTTGCTTTCAATTTCCTTTGACAAGAAAAAGCCGGGGACCTAAACCATGATCCAATCAGGCAGTTATATCCAATGATGTATCAATACGCGGCAAGGGACTTTAAATGTCACATTCAAGATTTCAAACAATTGGAACCCCCCCCCCTCCTCCCCCGAATATGGTGTCAGTCTCAAATGACATGATGTAATGTTATTGCCTACCAATATCAATTGATTATCATTTATTGCTTTTTGCTGAAAATGTCATGTTCATGATACAAACAAAATTAGGTTCCAATTGATCGTTTCCGTATCAGTCTCTTTATTTTAGAATGGAATTCGAACAAGTATAAGTCAAAATGACGCAAAGGATTTCACTAATTTTAATTGCCTGGTCCCATAACATCACATCGAGTACAACACCATAAAATATGCCTTTTGTTATAGGGCCAAGGGAACCGGTATACCACTGATCACATCACTGCAAAACATACCATCACAACATATTTCCGGTGCTTTGGATACTGAACACAATGAAGCACAGAGCATGCATACCCATGGAGGAGATGAAGTACTTTCTAATACTTCTACATTACTTCGACCTGATGCAGATATTGAGGACGAGAAGACAGAGCTGTCACACAGCGCTCTTGTAAATTTGAATACCGACACATCCGCTGATGACAAGTGCGTCCTAATGGAAGAACGCACATCTTCTCTGCAGCCAGGAGAAGTCATGGACATCTTAGAGACTGATCCGAATGACACTTGGGATGCAATGTATAACAGACTACTGGATGAAATGCCTCCGAGTGATGCCACTGCGTTCAAACTAGAGCTACCATTCAACCCCGACATAGACCTGATGGATGAGGAAGGATACACACCACTATACAATGCAGCTTTAGAAGGTGATCTCGAAGGTGTTGATGATCTCATTTCACGGGGAGCTGACCCAAATAAACCAAGTAAGGGTGGACTTCGTCCTCTTCATGCAGCGGCTCACGAAGGACATACAAACATCGTTGACTTCCTTATCCTGCAGGGAGCGGACGTGAATGTTGAGTGTGAGCTGGGTCAGACACCTCTTCATACAGCGGCTGCAAATGGTTATGTTGACATCTTAGAGAGCTTTACTGCAGAGGAAAGTCATGTGAACGTGGAAGATAACACTGGCTGGACACCTTTCAATGCTGCCGTTCAATACGGACATCTTGAAGCCGTCAAGTACCTCCTGACTAAAGGAGCGAATCAGAACAGATATGCTGGTATGACCCCACTATATGCGGCTGCAGGATTTGGCCGACTAGATTTCGTCGAATTCTTCATATCCAAAGGAGCTGATGTGAACGAAGAAGATGATGATGGGATGACTCCTCTCCATGGTGCAGCTGCTCGCGGCCAGTTGAAAGTCATGGAATATCTCATTCAGCAAGGATCTGATGTGAACAAAGGTGATGCTGAGGGTTGGACACCATTCAATGCTGCTGTTCAGTATGGCCATCTAGACGCTGTCAAACATTTCATGGCTGAAGGTGTGGGGCAGAACACATATGATGGAATGACCCCACTCTATGCCGCAGCAAAATTTGGTCATTTAGACGTCCTCGAATTCTTCGTTGATTTAGAAGGAGCTGATGTGAACGAAGAAGATGACAAAGGAATGATTCCTCTCCACGGTGCAGCTGCCCGAGGCCAATTGAAAGTCATGGAATATCTCATTCAGCAAGGATCTGATGTGAACAAGGCAGATGCCGATGGTTGGACACCATTTAATGCTGCTGTTCAGTATGGCCATCTAGACGCTGTCAAATATCTCATTACTAAAGGAGCAACGCAGAACAGATATGATGGAATAACGACGCTCTATGCTGCTGCACAATCTGGTCATCTACACATTGTCAAATTCTTCATTTCCAAAGTAGCTGATGTGAACGAAGAAACTGACAAAGGGATGTGTCCTCTTCATGCTGCAGCTAATAAAGGCCACCTGAAAGTCATGGAATATCTCATTCAGCAAGGATCTGATGTGAACAAGGCAGATGCCGATGGTTGGACACCATTTAATGCTGCCGTTCAGTATGGCCATCTAGACGCTGTCAAATATCTCATAACTGAAGGAGCAAAGCAGAACAGAGATGATGGAATGACCCCACTCTATGCTGCAGCACAATCTGGTCATTTAGACATCGTCAAATTCTTCATATCCAAAGGAGCTGATGTTAATGAAGAACATGACGAAGGGATGATTCCTCTCCATGGTGCAGGTGCCAGCGGTCACATAGATGTCGTTAAATATCTCATTCAGCAAGGGTCTGATGTGAACAAGGCAGATGCCGAGGGTTGGACTCCATTCAATGCTGCTGTTCAATATGGCCATCTTGAAGCTGTCAAATATCTCATGACTAAAGGAGCGAAGCAAAACAGCTATGATGGAATGACCCCTCTCTATGCCGCCGCACGATTTGGTCATTTGCACATCGTGAAGTACTTCATTTCCAAAGGAGCTGATGTGAATGAGGTAACTGACAAAGGGGTGACTCCTCTTCACGGTGCAGCTTCTAGAGGCCACTCGAAAGTCATGGAATATCTCATTCAGCAAGGGTCTGATGTGAACAAGGCAGATGCCGAGGGTTGGACTCCATTCAATGCTGCTGTTCAATATAGCCATCTTGAAGCTGTCAAATATCTCATGACTAAAGGAGCGAAGCAAAACAGCTATGATGGAATGACCCCTCTCTATGCCGCCGCACGATTTGGTCATTTGCACATCGTGAAGTACTTCATTTCCAAAGGAGCTGATGTGAATGAGGTAACTGACAAAGGGGTGACTCCTCTTCACGGTGCAGCTTCTGGAGGCCACTCGAAAGTCATGGAATATCTCATTCAGCAAGGATCTAATGTTAACAAAGGTTTCGTCAAGGGTTGGACTCCATTCAATGCTGCTGTACAATTTGGCCATGTAGAAGCAGTCAAATATCTCATTGCTGAAGGAGCGAAGCAGAACAGATGTGCTATGATGACCCCATTGTATGCCGCAGCATTATTTGGCCATATCGATCTTGTCAAATGCTTCATTTCAAAAGGAGCTGACGTAAACCAAGAAAATGACAAAGGAAAGATTCCTCTCCATGGTGCAGCTATTCAAGGCCATATGGAAGTCATGGAATATCTCATTCAGCGAGGTTCTGATCTGAACAAGGCAGATTCAGATGGTTGTACTCCATTCAATGCTGCTGTACAATATGGAAATGTAGAAGCTGTCAAATATCTCATAACTAAAGGAGCGAAGCAGAACAGAGATGATGGAATGACCCCACTCTATGCCGCAGCAGTATTTGGCCATCTCGATCTTGTCACATACTTCATTTCAAATGGAGCTGATGTAAACCAAAAAGATAAAAAAGGGATGGTCCCTCTCTATGGCGCAGCTCTTAAAGGTAGCATAGAAATCATGGAATATCTTATTGAGCACGGATCTGATATGAACAAGAAAGATAACACCAGACGGACTCCATTCAATGCTGCCGTTCAGTATGGTCATGTAGAAGCTGTCAAATACCTCATGACTCAAGGAGCGAAGCAAAACAGCTATGATGGAATGACCCCTCTCTATGCCGCCGCACGATTTGGTCATTTGCACATCGTGAAGTACTTCATTTCCAAAGGAGCTGATGTCAATGAGGTAACTGACAAAGGGGTGACTCCTCTACACGGTGCAGCTGCACAAGGCCACATGCAAGTCATGGAATATCTCATTCAGCAAGGATCTGATGTGAACAAGGGTGACCGTAAGCGTCAGACACCATTCAACGCTGCTGTTCAATATGGCCATCTGGAAGCTGTCAAATATCTCACGACTCAAGGAGCAAAGCAGAACCGTTACGATGGGATGACCCCAGTCTACGCTGCAGCGTATTTTGGTCATTTAGACATTATCAAATCCTTCATATCCGAAGGAGCTGATGTGAACGACGAAAATGACAAAGGGGATATTCCTCTCCATGGTGCAGCTACTCAAAGCCACTTGACAGTCATGGAATATCTCATTCAGAAAGGATCTGACGTGAACAAATGTGACGTCAAGGGCTGGACGCCACTCAATGCTGCAGTTCAATTTGGCAATGTAGAAGCAGTCAAATTCCTCATGACTAAAGGAACGAAGCAGAACAGATATGATGGCATGACCCCACTTTATACTGCAGCAGTACTTGGTTATTTAGACATCGTCAAAATCTTCATATCCAATGGAGCTGATGTAAACGAAGAAGATGACGGAGGGATGATTCCTCTTCACGGTGCAGCTATTCGAGGCCAAACGAAAGTCATGGAATATCTCATTCAGCAAGGATCTGATGTGAACAAGAAAGATAACACCGGGATGACTCCATTTAATGCTGCCGTTCAACATGGTCATCTAGAATCCGTCAAATGCCTCATGAATGAAGGAACGAAGCAGAACAGATATGATGGCATGACCCCACTTTATACTGCAGCAGTATTTGGTTATTTAGGCATCGTCAAATTCTTTATATCCAATGGAGCTGATGTAAACGAAGAAGATGACGAAGGGATGATTCTTCTGCACGCTGCAGCTGCTCGGGGCCACTTGAAAGTCATGGAATATCTCATTCAACAAGGATCTGATGTGAACAAGAAAGATAACACCGGGATGACTCCATTTAATGCTGCCGTTCAACATGGCCATCTAGAAGCTGTTAAATATCTCATGACTAAAGGAGCAGTGCAGAACATATGTGATGGAATGACACCACTCTATAAAGCAGCAGTACTTGGTCATTTGCATATCGTTGAATTCTTCCTCTCCGGAGGAGCTGATGTGAACAAAGAAGTTGACAAAGGGATGATTCCTCTCCATGGTACGGCTTCTGCAGGCCACATAGAAGTCATTGAATATCTAATTAAGCACGGTTCTGATGTCAACAAGAGGGATTGCAGAGGTTGGACGCCATTACATGTTGCAGTCAAAAACGGCCATTTAGAAGTTATCAAAGTTCTCTTGGCAAAAGGGGCGAAGAGCACCAGGTTTGGAGGATTGAGCCCACTTTACATCGCAACACAGTATAACCATATCGATGTGGTAAAATTCCTAGTTTCCAGTGGATATGATGTGAACGAAAGAAATAAATGCGGCAAGTCCCCTCTTCATGCAGCATGTTACAATGGTAACATGGATATCGTGAAATTTCTCCTTCACCACAACGCTCATGTCAATGAACAGGATCATGATGGATGGACACCACTCCATGCTGCTGCACAAGAAGGACATCAAGACATAGTCCGCTACCTAATATTGAATGGAGCAGACATGAACGTAAAGGACATAGATGAATTGACACCGCTTCAGGCAGCAGTGAACGCAGGCCATTTGAATGCAATAGAAGACATCTCAGCATGTAGAGGTGACCCGGATAAAGAACCAACAGGAAATCCAAGATCAGGAGGCCAACCGAATCTCATCAGAAGAGTATTTGTAACGGTATCACTGACGGATGCAGACACGAGGTCACGTACGGGAGAGTTAGCATCTCAGGTAGACAATGAAGGGGAGGGGAATGACTGCACCCAAGCTGATAATGCGAATAGAGTAGCCGATGAACTCTCCTTGAAGAATCTCCCCTCAAGGACCAATGATGGTAAAACGGGTGGCAGTGAAGAACACAGTCCTTTCATTTATGCTAAGCTGAAATGCCCTGACAAAGGGGAACGAGAACCAACGCCATATCAGATGGAAGCAACGGAGACTCCCGTGACAACAAATGGCGCAGACTGTTCTACCCTGCGTCAGACATGGCAATACAACGGATTCGACCCACCCTATCTACAAACCACAGAGAATGACGGTCATCCGTCTGAAGAACCGGAATCCAGATGTCACTCACTAATTGACGAAAACAGGGAAATGAGAGTGAGTGTTTATTAAATGTTTAAGTTTTTATCTTAACAAAGCATACATTTGATTGAAACTTTGGATAGAAAAGATGATGGAAATATAGATATGTTTTGAAGCAACCATTCATCATAGAGATGAAAAACAAAGATTCGTAGAGAGCAAAAATTCATAACCTTTTGTACATAGCCCTATGGTAAAGACTCCGTAATATACAGTGCGTCCCAGAAAAAACGAAACCGAGAAGTATCGATGTTTTATCATAACTTAATCACAACCATAATTAATGAATGATACATATTTGGAAAGCTTAGAGTCTCCCCTTTCAGTTGATGCTACTCACGTGATGCATATTTAACGCATGAGCGATTAAAAGCAATTTGAAGGAAGGAAACCAAAAAGTAATTTGGCGGGCGGTATCTGAATTTCAAAGACAAATTCATATTTCTAGAAAGTTCATTTTCTGCTCTTTCATATGATACCTCAATCAAGAAAAATGAGCCAGGAATAACAAAGTTCTGTTTGTTTAAAGTAGCCCTTACATTTTCATAATTTTAACAAACGAATTCGTTTTCACTGGGTGCCTGCCGTAGCAAAAAGCAGATTTGATAAAAGACTTAACTCCGTTTCGTTGACAATCAGCCATGCGTGAAGACTCTCGTCTACGGCTGATTTGTCAACGAAACGGAGTTAAGTCTTTTGTTAATTTCGTTTATTGATACGGCAGGCAGCCAGTGAATAAAATTATGGAAATGCAAGCACTACTTTAAACAAACAGAACTTTGACATTCCTCGTTCATTTTTCTTGATTCAGGTGTCATATGAAAGGGCTGACACTCAACTTTCTAGAAATGTGAATTTCTCTGCGAAATTCAGATACCGCCCGCCAAATGTCTTTTTGGTTTCCTTCCTTCAAATTGCTTTTAATCACTTATGCGTGAAATATGCATTATCTTAGTAGCATCACATGAAAGAAGAGACTCTAGGCTTTCCAAATATGTATCATTCATTAATTATAGTTGTGATTAAGTTATAATAGAACATCGATACTTCTCGGTTTCGTTTTTTCTGGGACGCACTGTATTTTGTTTCCGACATACCTATGCCTTGATAAAAGGAATCAAATTTTAAAAAAATAGAGGATGAACAATTACATGCAATACTATTATACACATTGGTCAGTTATTTATGTTGTAAGAAACAATTATGTGTTCATTCAATGCATGTATTTAGAATTTCGTCTTTCTCGTTGTTTTGTCTTATTTCACCTAGAGCATCCGTGCTAACCAAAACTTAATGTCGCCGTTATGTCTTCTTATATCATATCATTTCACAGCATTCTAATAATACATTTTCTATGATGTATTTGATTTTCCTCGTCAGGAATCTTGTGCACCGTTGAATGCTAGAAATGATCCTCCTTTTAACGGAACTTCAACTGAGTTAGAGAGGTACTAGTCACTTTCCGTTTCTGTTATTATAAGGAAACCTTATTATTCGTATAACGTGATGTATTTAGTTAATATATTTCGCTCCACAATTAATTCCATCATTAATACAATAGTTTTCTTCATGTTTATTTAATATATATAATTATTTCGTTTATTCTTCATAATGTATATGAATAACCGTTTACAAAAAAAGCATTATGTACGTAAACTGTACGACATCACTTATTACGAGACTAGATTACTTTCGGATTTCATACCTGCCTGGACTTGATCCTACAGAAGATAGAGAACAGAGAAGCAAGACCTGATGCAGTACCCAGGGTACTGTTGGGGTCAATATTTTAAATCTAGGTATTTTTCATTTGCAATA